GTATCAGTCAACTGTCTAATTTTTGTGATAGCAAAAGCAGCCGAGCTTAGACTTTTGGCTAGTGTGAATATATGTAGTCCCCACTGCAATTTATTATCTATTACAATACCAAGAAACGAAGTCTCATCAACAAAGTCTACATGATGATTCAAATGATGAGTCAAACATGATGATTCAAACTAACAGTTGTCGTTACTTGTTTTACATTTGGTAAAGAAAATTTTACACATTTTGTTTTCATTGAATTAAGCGCTAGATTATTTGATGTAAGCCAGTTTAGAACATCCTCAAGAGCAATATTTATATTATTAAAATCCTTTATATTTCTTTTCACTTTGAAAATAAGTGATGTCCTCAGCAAACAATACTATGTCAAGTATGTATGCTAACTTCAGTACATCTTCCATGGTGGACTCAAATTTTTCATAGTCTGAGTTAGGAGGCCGATACACACATATAATTATGTGTTTCTCTAATTCTGCACATGATAATTCTATAATGCATTCATTTGAAAGTTCTACAATATCTTTACGTTCTTTCCCTTTAATGTTATTTTTTAATAAAATAATTGAACCACCTCTAATTGAAATTTGCTGTGTAAATGTACTTAATATTTCATAATTTGGTAACTGAAATAACATGTTGGACTGTTTTAACCAATGCTCTGTGAGGCATACAATGTCAATATTAAATTTACTTATAAATAATTCTATCTCTAATTCATTGCCAAGAAAGCCTTGAATATTTTGATGTACTAAATTTAGTTGTGATGGCTTTCTCTTTGTCTGTAACTTAAATTTAAAGATTCTTGCACAGAAACATTAGTAAAACTACTATAAACTGTGCAGTCAGGATAAGTACCTGTTATACTACTTATAACAGGATTGTGTATATTATAAGCTAACAAAGTAGCTATATGTCTTTTGTCAAAATGTGACAAATACAAAGTATTTTTAGTCAATGTAAATTTTTTTACAAATTTATTTGTATCAAAACAATGAATATTGCTATTATAACAGCTCATGTTGTATATAAGAGTGTTAAGTCTAAAAATATGATTATTTCTATTCTTGGATAATGACTTTGAATATGGTAATATACATATTATAAATTTTTTAATTCTCATATTCGAGACAGAATTAAATAAGAATATCAAGTCATTTTAGTGATACTTAAACTATTCCCAATGAATAACACAAGAGTTGTGTATTCAGTATAACTGTTTTGGTTATTCACCATTCTATTAACTATATAATTAAATGGGGCATTTGGCATACAATGATTTTGGATATGTTCACTCAAACAGTTATGCATAAGTGATCCTAGTGTTACTCTTACATGTGTGGTTACTACTAACAATACTGGGTAGCACATTAGTTTGTTCGGGATTGATGATGGATGTTGATGTGGGTGAAGAGGAATTGCTCGAGACAGTGTTGAAGTCTGAATGTTGCTGTGCTAGGTGGTCTGATGTTTCACATTCACTTTTAGAGTTATATTAAATCATGTGGCGTCTTGAGCTTAAAAAATGCAGTCTATGTTTAAGATTTATTAATTGTATTTATTAAATTCTGGTATAAATACAATTGTAGAGTTACGTACTAAAAAGGTAAAATTGACCGCTTATGGTGTGAGTTTTCATACATATTTGTCTGTCACAGTATTATATTTCAATGATATCTATAGATTTGAAAAAAATATACTATTTTCCTTATCTCGAAGTATACGAAGCGAAAGAGCACCTAAACGTGAAACGAAGCATGCATTGCGAACTACACGTCTGCGTAAGAAACTGGTTATATACTGTTTTAATGTTATGATTTTTCCTTTAACCTTTTACAACGCCTGCTTTTAGGCAGCGTCCATATTAAATAAATTTGTATTAGCATAGTATTTTATTATTATTTTTTAAATATACAGCACAAGCCTAAATTGAATTTAACGATGGAACGAAACCAAAATTAACCACCTACATGAGGCCTTTCCTTGTAACACTTTTCCTTAAATCATGTAAGTAGGTATATAACAAAGCGTGTCATATAAATTAATAGTGGGTTTAGGTAGTTGTTCGAGCCCCCTGGGTACTGTAGCGCATCAGGGATAATTTCAGAAGGCGCGGGTTTGACTTTTAAGGCCTAATACGCAAAAGAATTGCATATCACTGATGCGTAGAATTCGGGGGAGCGCAAACAGCCTTCGAACCTATAAGTCTTAGCAGATATGTCGGATTGTTCACTCCAGAGGCACTGCACGTGATTGCACTTCTGCAGACCCAGTCCATCTGGAGGTGGACACAGATGTATGAATTAAGCGACATATGTCAAAATTTTACTAACGACTTATAAACTAAGTTGTTTACTAACATAATTAAAAAAATATTTAAAAACAGATGACAGTTATCATAATGGTGGCACAAAATTCATAGTAGTCATTCGTAATATTTTTTTCTTCTTATATTATACGAAAGGGATTTTTCTTACGATTTCACGCCATAACGTCTTAACCACTCATCATAAAATTTTGAATACCCGTAGGTATACATAGTACACACATATCAAATATATATGAATGAATAGCAGGAACTTGGTTAGTTTTCGAATTGATATGATTGAAATAATATCAATATAATTGGGCAATTATTATTAATCAATGTTAGTAGGTCATTGCAATTTTACTGTTGGATGCCGTTCTCGTTTACCGAACAAAAGTGTGTGTCGCCTGAGAATCCTAAACGTATAATGTTGTATAGGTTTGTATATATTACACTAGCTGTCCCGGCAAACGAAAAAAAGATAGTAGCTGATTCTCAGACCCAGTTATGCATATAAAACTTCATAAAAATCGGTCAAACAATGTCGAAGGAGTATGGTAACTAACACTGTGACACGAGAATTTGTATATATACCTACGATATTACCGATTGTTGAAATTGTGGTGAACGCAACACTTGTTAATATTTACTTTTTAGTTCATAACCAAAAACCATTGGATATAATTAGATGAGTATGCACATTCAACATAAATAATCTGTTTTATCTACAAAATAGATAAAGTCGTTTGAAGGTAATAATACTGATTTGCGTTATACGATGCTACATCCGCGAATAAACATATTACCTAACTCTAGCGAGGATGCAATTACTCCTTTTATTGCAACGAGTAGGTAGGTAGATAACTATACATGTCCCATCTTCCACGATAGATATCTCAGAACTTGTCAATTATAATAAATAATAGTAAACCAGTTTGCGATTCGTACATGTAAATTATTATTACAGAATGATAAGGCATTGCATGTTTAATGCACAAAACTGTAATATTAATTTGCATTATACAAAAATATTACAATAAATTAATATTAATGTTTAAGGCGGTCGAGCAAAGGCCGATTATATTTTATCTCGTTAAATTGAATTAAGATTATAATCTTTGATTTAAAGTTTTCATTCTAGGACTTATCAAATTTCATTCAAGTAATTTTAGTGAAAATATCACATTATGACATGTAATGGTATTTATTAGGTAAATGCTTAAAACTTACTTGCACGACACTCATAATAACAATAACTTATACAATAAAACACACACAAAACATTGTAAAAATAAAAAAAAAAATTGGTGTAGGTATATTTTTTTCCCTAAAACGGAAAGTTGGACTAACGGTGTTTGTCATTTTTTAGTAAATAAGCCGTCCATTAGTTTTCTATTTTATTTACCAGATAGGTACTTAGTATCGTTTACGTTTACATAAACGCAAAAGCGAATTTACCAATCTCTCTGTTTTTACGCTTTCACTATAAAACAATTGAACCGACTCGGCCTGTGATTGGGAGTGGTGAGATTTATATAGCAATATGAATTTAAAATGTTGAAATCTTAAGACGTGGTCTGTAAAATTCAAGTGTCGGTTTGTAATTCTAAATTAACAGCTTTTCAGTAACTGCCTATGAAAGTATATGCCTCTGTCTGTTCTTGCTAATCTCTGAAATGTCTGAACCGTTTTTGACGGGACTTTTATTTAATTTTTAGAACTATTTCTTATACAAAAAGTTTAATTTCACGCGGACCAAGTCGCCGGTAAAAGCAAGTAAATATTGCTTTATTTATGTTCAACAACTGTAAGAAGGTACATATTCAAATTATGTAAACGGGCGACTGCTACGTACCTGAGTTTTTTAACTGTTCATTGTAAATAACACTATTTTTACTGTCTCAGTTAACTCTCCATTAATAAATCAAATTTTCCCACAATAACAGTGAACATTTGTTAAAGATCTACGCTTTAGTGATTCGTTTGGCTGTAGGAGTAACAGCCAAACAAATCACTAAAGCGTAGATCGTTTACAAATGTTCATGCTGTAATATACGATAAACGCAAAAGGAAAAAAACCTGAGAAATAACTAATAGCAGCTACCTGCTAATAAAGGTTAATTACTCTTATTGTTGTAAGCAGACAATGGAAGATAGGCGTGTATCAGTGGAAGGAAGTCGGAAGAAACCTAACTGGGGAATTTGATTTTGACTGTGTAAAATTAGTTTTGGTAGCTTATTGATTTTGGAAGTTTGGAAGTTCTAACTATATTCTATTCTATCTATATGTAGATTTCGTTTCATAATCTGGTAATACAATTTAGTCAGACATAGTACCTACATACCCTCCATTCTTCGGCTAAAATTTTCTTTCCTTTATTTAATTACCACAGTTATATCAGTAACACTTGTCATACACACATTCAAACCTATGTTAATATTTTTTTAAGAAAAGTTAATGCTGAATTAACGCCTTAATTGCTTTCAGCCATAAGGTCGCCTTATTGTATGCATGTGTTCTTTAATATATTGTTTATGCCTTTTTTTACTTTATATTACAAATAAAGTATATTCTATCCATCTGAAAGATAGTAGATAATGAAATGGCCACCCATCAAATAAATGAAACAAACTGTTCCTAAAAAATTTCAACTGTGCAATGTATTAAGTAACTTTTTTTCTATTTCAGATTATGTTTTCCTTTCTCTCGATTGGTTGGGGCTTGTTATCAGATATTGACATCGAGAGTGAGAGGTTACGAGCTATGGGTGGACAGAGGTTCGCAGTATGGGCGGTTGCCAGAATACTAGGACTGAGGAAGTACAAGGGCGTTGTAAGTTATATGAAAATTAAGGATATCAGTAATCTCCCCAAGGCCAAACAACCGCTCACTCTCAGCCATAGCGTTAGTCAGGACGGCGCACTCGACTCCCCTGATGCGGAAGCGTTCATTGATTGCGATGAACATTCCGAAGTGTATAGCAACGCCAGGAGCGGAAGACATCAGCGTGTAGACTCGTGGTACTCTGTCAATTCTAGAAGAAGCGCATTCTTTAGTACACGCGGATCGGAATACCATAGCGTAACGAGTGAAAATTCAGAAATGCGCTCTCCTGTCCACGTCTGTATGCATGGGCCTGCGTCGCATTTACCATCTCTCATGTCCCAACTACCCACCAATTGGGTTCACGAACAAGGCGAGTTCATAATGGTGCATGTATCATATCAGTCCTACATCGGGGAAGACTTTTTCTTCGCCCCACGGTCACAGTTGTGTGATGGAGTAATGTGGATGCTAATCATTAAGGTTGGAGTTTCAAGGTCGCAACTTTTATCATTTTTGGTCAATGCCAATCAGGCCCCCCACGCAGAGTTGAATTCCGAGTACATTAAAATGGTTCCTGTGAGTGCATTTAGGATAGTTCCCGAGGGGTCAGACGGTATTCTCACTGTGGACGGTGAGCTCGTAGAATATGGGCCAATACAAGCGGAAATATTTCCTAACATAGTAAAGTTAATGGTGCCAGATAATAAATAACACTAGAGAAGTTTAATTGTAAGATTTATTCCAAATGACTGAAATCAATTATTTGAAATAAAACCGAGCCGACGGAAGTGCAATATGTGGAATATTTTCCTATAAACAAAATGTTTAATATAGGCCTTGTGCCACAATAATATCAGATTTTATGCATTTATTAGCAATGTTAATTATTGAAAGGTAAACTAGATCATTCCAAAAATAATCAAATATTGATAGAGCAAGGTCATTCCACAAAAAATGTGATGTTCTAATTTATATATAACAGACATGTTTTGTTTCTTAATAATCTTGAATGTGATATTTTTAAGTGGACTTCTATTTGAAATACAATTTAGCGACTAGTCAAACTTTTCAGTGCCAAAGATTAAGCACTCTAAAATATGCACGATTTATGAGTAAATTGTTAAAATATTATCATTTGCTCAATATTTAGGGCAAAATAAGACAGTTTCGAATCCTACTTATTGTATATCAGTCCTATTTGTATAACAAATATAAAATAGATTTATCCACTTACAGGCATTGTGTAAGATTATTTAATTAAATTTTATTTATTTACAGTAAGGTTTAAATTGATTGTACAATGTAGTACATAACAAGAATAGTTATGCCAATTATTTAAGAGTTTGAACGCAGAGGTTGTTATATTTACTGAGCTTTAGTCATGCTACTTTACAATGATGTGGTTAGTGCGGAGCAGTGTGTGCGTTGTCCAAACACGTCCTTTACCCTTTCCGCAGTAGTGACAAGTAAGTGAAGCAACAAACAGATGTAGGTATTGTACCTATAACTGGGTATTCATCGTGTAGGTCGCTGGAAATGCATTGTCATACCTTAAACCGCATTGATTCATCAAGGAAATGTCGCCTGTGGCTGAGTCATATATTGGAGATGGTTTAGACCTTAGAATATAACCTCATTTACCTCGACCGGCTCCATTGGCCTGTGACTGCAAATAGCTACACAATTTAATATTTACGATTTTTTAAAAATCAAATGTAGTTTACGATTGTTTTGCTGTTATTGCACAAGTAAATTCATATACTAGTTTTCATTGATTTCCATTTGATCCATCCGTTGGCCGATTGCGTCTTTAACGAAATACTGCAGTGCGCGGGTGACACAGTTTTTTTTTAAAGAATAATTAGTTAACTTATATACGGTTTTCTTTTGCTATCGAAGCTAAGCAAAACAGAAGCTTTAGTCTTGTCCCTCACACTAGACAGCAAAAGCTTGATGTAATCGAATATCGTAATTTATTTGTAATTAAGTTCTAATGATCACTGTGCCAAGTTCAACTTGTGCACTAATGAATTGTTCGAAATCTTAATTTGTGCGACTAGATATTATATCGGGTTTTGGTATAACAATAATATAAATATTAAGTACTTATATAATATCTAGATCAGGGATTAGGCTATTTTCAGACATTTGTAATGCATGTAAGAATATAATCTGATATTATAGGTTGCATCGTATTATAATTTATGTAGGTATTAATGTTTGCTCTGAAAATATCCTAATTTAGATTTATGCTATACTGGGCTCTTTTGCCTATTTATAATTTAGAAGTATTATATAAATTAAATATTGATTTAATAACTTTCTGTGATAATATTAAACTTTGCCATAATCATAATATGAATGTTCCGTCACATTTTAAACCCCCAGAAAAATGCCTAAATATTAAAAATATAATTTAATTTGAATGTGATAATTTATTAGTATTTTTGGTGATAACTTTAGTTCAATTATTTATTTATTATGATAATAAATTAAAAAGCTTGTTAGTATTGTAAAATGGGATAAGAGAATTTTATCACTATAAATTTTGTTAAAATTTATATATGTAAGTACTAAGTTATTAAGGTTGTATCTTGTATCATCACAAAATTAGCACAAGCTGAACATAATGTTCCATTTTTTTACTATGAATGTAGAAGTTTTGCATAATTACTATAAATACAATAATTTCAATGTAGTTGAATCAACAAAGAAATTTAATAGTTACTATTAATTTGCATGTTTCTATTTATCTGTGACATTTATAAAATACATCCTTCAATAGTTATACTTTACTGGAATTTTAATAGCTCTAATGTTGTAAATAAAAGTTTATGAAATTGTTGTTAATAAATGATTACACACAATTTGAGTGTTTATTGAAAGAACTTTCATCAAAGTTACTTTACAAATTTTATTTCTTTATTGATAATTGAAAGGTTGTCAAAGTGGTTTAATTTAAAGTTTTAGTAGATTTATTTAGAATTTTACACTATAAAATAATGTATAATAAATAATGATACAAAAATATTTTTTATTTAGGCAAACATTAGATAATCTTCAGAATGACCTTTTGCTGTTAAAATTTCTTTTAAATGACATGTAATTCAACTTGAATTTATATTATGCCAGATAACCTTTCAAACATCAATATTATTCTTATTTAAACCATAGGTAGATAACAAATATTTCCACTAAAAATCAAAGTTTGATAACATTAAATCAATATACATGTGAATAATATATATACATAGAATAATTCCTATTAATGTATAGTAACTTATAAAAATTGATTAGTAATATATCAGAAAAGTTATTTATTATTGATATTATTAATCAAATATAACTTAACAATTTCTATTATTTATTGTTACTATCCAGTAATTAATATAAATAATATGACCTCATTATAAACTTGAAAGCACATATTAACACAACAGTACTTCAGGTACCTTAAGTCTACCACCCAATGAACCATGTTTGCCAACATACAATTATTATGAAACACTGAACACCTAGTTTAACATTGAATACTCACATGCAATGCAAATATAGAAATCATATCAAGTTATAAGACAATAAATAAATTTTATTTTTATATTCAATCCATTCTAAATTAAGTAAAATATCTAGTTATCTTAAAAAGTATAGAACAAATATCAAAATGATATTTCTTATTAGATTATTATGGTCCTTTCTATAATCCATAATATATACATGTAATTATTAATAATTCTATTCTTCATTTCAACACTGAAACTCTAATAGTATAAAATCATTCAATATAGGTATCACCAACAAATTATAATATTTACTAAAGATCAAGTATGGTAAGGGTTATTATCTATTTGAATTTGGCTAATGCAATTGTATTAATAAAAATTATTTTAACCTATTTTATAAATAAGTAAATAATTTGACTAATTTTACAAAGCAGTAATATCCATACAAACTAAACACATTATTGATTTATATTGTTAGTAATTGATAAGTTTATACTTATTTTAATAGTTCCCTTACATTCTAATTGTGAGCTGAAGATGTAATTGCACAATTGGCATAAAGTAATACCGAATTGCATATAGACTGCCAGCAATATCTTCTAAACATCATGAGTTACTGACAAATAGAATAGGCAAGTCACATGAACACATCTCTAACAATAGGCAGTTATCATTTTTAAACAGTCTTGAAATGTTTTATTAAAAAAATATTAAAATAATTATCTTAATTTCAATGAGTCTAGACTGTCAAGTAAATTCTGTACTTCCGAGTCCACTTGTTCTCTAGTACTGACCCGCTCTAGTCTCTCACGGACGGATTCCAATTCCCCAGCATCAGCCTTTTGTATCTTCATATACTTTAACATCATTTCTACAACTAAACATATTTCACTGATCAGTTGTTTTGTTTCATTTGATGGTCCTGCACCACTTGGTCTCATTCTTATCAGTTTCAATTTACTCTGAGCTAACTGGAGTGGATTGCGGCCGTTTTTGTCATTAGAGCTAACATCTGTGCCCGCATCAAGCAGCTCGATGACTACAGGTATATGGTTAGTGCATGCAGCTAGATGAAGGGGAGTATTACCCAATGTATCTTTAATATTAGGGTTGGCACCATGTCTTATAAGCGTTCTTACAACATCAACATAACCCCAACAAGCTGCTAGGTGTAATGGACTTCTTTTATGTTCATCTGATGAATTAGGATCGGCTCCTGATACAAGTAGTTTCTCGACAAGTTCCACGTTATTAGTAGATGCTGCGAAACGCAATTTTTGGTTTCTTGACGAACAAATTGAGCCGCCATATCTGTATTTCAATCTGCAGTGTCTGGCTTTCGTAGAGCACTTGATTTTACCAATATGTTCGTGTCGTTCACTAAAGAAATCAACAGGCATAGGTTGACCTGCTTGGTTTATTGGTATCGCTGGCGGATTGAATTCTAAGACACATTGAGAATGGTCAAAAACTGGGTTATCACTACTTTCATTGCTTGTATCAACTCCTGAATCAGCCATGGTATTTATAAAGGCATTAATATCTATATAGTTTCCAAACAAATTAATATTCTAAAATTAATAATTTTAGTTATATATTAACACTTTTTATTGGAACACATGACTTTAAGTATATAACAACTTTAGCTTGAATCTGTTTTATTCAATATATGAATTTTTATTTACAAAAAAATAGAAGATATTATATGGAAAAATATTTTTATACATTAATTATATATCAGTATTCAATCAGCACATAGGTTTTAAAATGACAGTTCGGCAAGAGTAATGTCATTCAAGTTAATAATTATTGCGGCGTAGTGATTCCTTTCCTTAGTGCAATAGTCACTTTCCATGCATAACATCTATTATAGTTTATGAGCCTTAGAAAATCTGACGTGTATGACATTCTTTAAGTACACTAGAAACTGCTAGAAACTCAAAATGGTCGTGATTTTCATGGTAAATTATATTAGGAATATATAAAAAGTAGAAAGATAGACTCCGCCTGTGATGATTAATAAAATAATAACTTTACAACAAACTATATGGAAATGCTACGCATGGATATTACAATCAACAATTGAATAACTATAATGTGGTTTAAAGTATTTGTTACCATACCCATAAAAAGGATTATAAATATGTAAACATACTGACAGATTAATGCTAATTAATACAGAGTATGTAGCTATTGACAGCTCAGATCACGGTATCTGAAATGAAAGCTACGAATTTGAATGAGTTGACAGCTGTTTTGACAGCTCAATTTTTCAACTTCCTAATATTTTTGGAAGATATTTTTATCAATATTACTGCGTAAAATTTTATAATAATGCAGCAAATAACAGTATTCATGGTAAGTTAAAGTCAGTCTTATTTTTAAATTATTTTATGTTTGTGATGGTATTCCATCTGTATCTTAACCTATAACTATTACCCACAGGACATTGAGAGTTCGAGATCGTATATTGACGAGTTGTATTCACCAGATGCAACAAAGGTAGTAGAGGCACTAGTTACGCTAAAAAACTCAGTAATTGGCAGTAACCGGCAGAAGAGTTCAGTCATTCAGCAAGGAGTTGTACCTCGACTCCTGCAGCTGATGTCAGACGAGGCACTTGATCCCAACATAAGACTTGAAGCCACCATCACAATCGGTAATGTTCAACTTGATGTTAGAATATTTGTTATTTTATGTATATTTTTTTTCATTAACTATTGCCAATTTATCAACTCTATTTAGGTAACCAAATTGTACCCAAGTTTAATTGTGCCCTACTTATATTTGGCATTTATTAAGAGTGTTCAACATTATTTGTGAAATATTTACATAGTATAAAATGAAGTCGCTTACATTGTCTGTTCACTTAGATCTTTTGAATTACGCAACAAATTTAATGATTCAAGAGCAAGGTTTATATATATATATATATTTATTGTATGTAAACCTGTCTGTGCTAAGGCGGTAAGAGCAGCTAGTATATTATAAATGTGAAAGTGTGTATATCAATCTGTTATATACCTTTAATGAAATAAATATCTGAACATATCTTAATAAATTTGTTATGAAAATAGATTCAATTATAGAGATATATATAGATTGTGTTATGTCAAAAACAGTGTTGTGCAATACCACAACACTTTTAAGTGCTCTAGTACAGAACTAGATATAATAGATTATTATTTTATTTTATTTTGGATATTTATTATGGAATAAGATATAATCAAAATATCAGTGAAAAGTTTTTGTAATAGAATGGTGGATTGGCCTGCTGCGCCAATAGTATTTGCTGGTGTGGTAACAGTGGAAGATGATAGGATACAAATAAGATCAGATTTATTATATGATTGTGATAAATTCAACAGGAATTAACCACAATGACTTTCAGGAGGGACCATGTGATGGTTAGCCAGTCTTTAGGAATTCCTAACCCCCTCCAATTTATTATTGGGTGGTATTGTATTTTGGTTGCAATGATTTACAACCTTTATTTTTATTTGGGAACTTACATAATGTAATGTACTGTGTTTGTCTGTGTAATATCTATTGAAGTAAAATATTGGTTCATGCAGTTTATAATTGTTCCATATAATATAACTTTTATTTTATTCAGGTTCACTAGCAAAAGGTACACTAGATAATGTAATGGCATTGGTAGAACAAGGGGCTGCAATAGCATTGGTGGAAGTATTGAAGACGGTACCTATTGGCACTAAGTTGGTTGAGGCTGCCCTATGTGCGCTGCGGAGTATCTTCCTCCATCCACCTGCACCAATAGCTGCTCTCCCGGCAGACATGAGGTTGCTGACAAGGCTAACACGTGAGCTGGCTGCCTTTACTGTTTATGAAATCATCGATTTTTTATTTTTATTAACACAATTATGGCTGATATTTTAATTAAAATAACAATTCATTAAAAAAGCTCCTGATTTCTATATGATTATTTCGCCATATCACTCCTAGCACTTCTCTTATAAATGGCCACTGGGATTTTAGGGGCCCAAAACAATAGTGACATAGAATGAAATTTTTGCCTTAACTTGAGTGATAAGGTGACATGCAACTTATATTGAACTGTTGTGTGTTTGTAGTTTTTTATTTGTATAATAAAAAATAAATAAATCTTTATAATTTGGTACATAGACAAAGATTGTTTGTTTAGTACTCTGTCAAACTTAACTTGAAGTAATAGTATAGTCCTCATAACTTGATAATTAGATAGTCTGAATAACGCAGTATATACATCATGTCCACAATGTGTCTCAACTTAACATAATACATTATTATTGTGCTCTCATCTGCGAAGGAGCCAATTGTTGAAACATACCCCATCTATGGATAGTCTAATGAATTTAGAAATCTCATTTTAAAAAATTATTGGATGCTCCACAGATTGACTCATGATTGATGGGGGTCATCTGTGAGAAGTCCTCTAATTGGTCTCACAGATGCGGCATTAATGTCACTTTGACAGCTAATAATTGAAAACTTATACATGATAATAATATCTTTCCTGTAATAAACAATTAAGCAATATATATATATATATATATATACACAGAAATTGCACGCGAGGGAACAGCAACAGCACGATGCTGTGTGGTACGGATATTGTCAGTCTGGTGTGGTAGTCACATGGAACAAGAAGCTCTTTGTCAAGCGGGCGCCTGTACTGCGATAGCGGCCATGCTCGCCAACGGCCGCAACTCCGCCCCACCTCTGGCACGGGCGCTGCCAGCATTGGAATTACTTGCTAATATGTGTTTTGAGAATGGCAACGTGTCACAAGTAGCTTTAAACACTAGGTATGTATATTGTAGTATATTAATGGAAAGTTTTTTTTTTCGGATTACTATAATGCTGTTGGCTGCAGCTGGCCTTTACAACTTTACTGGACGATAGGGCGCGAGTGTAGATAGCACTCCAAACCAGCAGAAGGATGTATCGAGCGGCTAAAGGCCAACTTCCGCCTGTCGGATACACCTTTAGTCAGAGAGTAGTATAGTATGCAGAATATTGTTAATTTGTGATTGTAAAAAATAAGTATATGTGAGCATATTTTTTAATGTTTTATGACTTTGTTTTATAAAATAATCTCTGATTATAGATTTATGGTAATTTTACCAACTGTCATATTGCCTAATGGGTCAACCAACAAATAATGACATTCTTGTTATGTAATTTGTGTATGACTCTAAAATTTACTTTATACATATGTAGTAATAATGATGATTTTCTTAATTATAGGCATGGTGACAAGACAATCCCAGAGCATCTTATGTGCCTGGTGTCGCGAGATAAACCTTTACCTGTAGCTTTGGGAGCAGCACGATGTCTCACATTTATCCATCGTGCTGGCGCTCTCACTGCCGACGACAATAGGTGGATTGTTTTTTTTTATATTTTTTATGTCACTAGGTGGGCAAAACCGCTGACGGGGTAAGCGATGGTAAGTGGTACTTGTCCCCTATATACATCAACAGCAACATGAACAAATTATTATCATAGAACATCCGTGGTGCCACGTGCGTTGCCATTTCGAGGACCAATACGTTATAGTCATATAAGCCTTCGGCCAAAACAACTCGGCGGCATATAAAGGTAACAGATAGGGATAGGTACCTATGTGTCTACGTACTAGACACGTAGACAAGTAGTTACTACGTCCAAAGTTTATCTACTAAATAAACTTTGCTACGTCGACTTAGTAGAAATTTATTTCGGTAAAAACAGTGTTCTTGTTTTACAATATTATATTTAATGTACAAAATTAACTGTTTTTATTATTTTATGATGTATTGAAAATAAAACAAAACGATTATTCAGCATAACATATAAATTAAGTGTTTTTGAATTATGTTTAGATTAAATCTATTTTTTTTAATATTAATGATACGATAATGATACAATGTTGTTGGTCGAGACGATGTATATTACTTATTTATTATTATTAGATGATAATAAATTGACAATATGTACATAAAAATGTTGATCATATATACTAAATGACAATAGGAAAATGTAAGGAGGGGTGATACAGTTTAGACACGGCAGTGCTTAGTAGACAATATTGGATTTGTCTTACTAGCCATTATTAAATGCAATTATTATTTTGATGTATCTAGGTAACTGTGTCCCATATTAACTATATATTATTATAGAGTTTTTATTAATTTTCTTTCGCCTTTTCAGAGTGGTATTTGGTGCCTTACCTTGTCTGGCGCGACTCTGTACGAAAGAAATGCCGGAAGAAATCAGAGCGAAGGCTGCAGAAACATTAGCCTACTTAGCAGAGGTGTGTTCTCTATTCTCATTCATTTTAATATGTATATAATATTTTCTTAAATACCTCGGTACGTCTAAAATAATTTTGATTAAAGCTTAATTTTATTTAATGTAATTGGAATGACTAACAAACGGACTACGACGGCCCACCTGATGTTATGCATGATAACCGATATGTTACCCGTTTTACGGTAGATATGATATGATGCTGTTGCTTATCTCTTAATAATATGAATATCTGAATTCCAATGTAAAATTATGACATTTTCCATTAAGTGACTTTTAATTAGTTTTATATATATGTTATATATTATTTAATTTATTATTTTGAATACTTAAAATTGTAATTGTGACATAATTATTTAAAAAAAATGTAATTACTATTGACGTGCTATTGTGTAACGAGATTTGTTACATTTGTGAATAAAACAATATGAAAAATTGAAAAAATAAACCCTATATTTGTTCCCAGGTGGACACTTCCCTTCAAAGACTCGCAGCTATTTCCAATCACTTGATGAATTCACTCGCAGATATAGTTAATTGTCAATCGGCGGCGGCGAAACAGGGCGCGTTCAAATGCTTCGCGTCGCTAGGTGCTAATGACGAGGATATCAGGAAAAGGATTATTGAGACTCATGGCCTGATGAAGCATATTGTCAGTGAAATGAAAAATCCAGAGCCATCTGTAGGTTTCTAAGTTATAACTATTTTTTTAACATGGTAATGGGTATACTGTCTATATCTTGACAGTATAAAATGAAGTTGCTGCCGTTGTCTGTTCGCTTAATCAAACTACGAAACAGATTTAATCTAGCTTTTATTTATTTATTCATTTGCATAACATAATGTCACAATGAAGGTTGACATAATATTATTATAAGAAGACTATGGACCGTGATGAATTTCCTAAATTGAAATTAAAAATATTTTAATGCTCAGAAAAAAATATATTACAATATTTTTCTTTCTTTGATTTATGTATTAATGAGATTCCTCTCTTTTTAGATCAGATTGGCAGCTGTGAGGTGTCTACACTCGCTGTCAAGATCTGTTCAACAGTTGCGGACTACCTTTCAGGTATTATTTGTCTTCATACACATTTTTATCATCTTGATCTGATTTCGCCATTTTTATTTAAATACTAGCTGGACCTGCGACTTCATCCGCGTGGAAAAATAACTTTATTTTTCTAAAATATAAATAGCCTAAGTTAGTCTTTATTACATCAGCTATCTGCCAAAAAAAAGTCTCTTCTTAATCGGTCCAGGGATTTCAGAGATCGGAACAAACAGACAGACAGACAAAAATGGTAAAAAATGTTATCTTGGTGTGTGTACCGTATTTATATTCATATGCATGTAGTAAAAAACGGATCTTTCAGTATTACAAATAGACACTCCAATTTTATATGTATAGATATAAACTTGTAAATAAGATTAAAACTCCTAAAGTATGTCCTTGTTTTAAGTTGTAATTATATATGTTGTATATGTTGCTCACTACTGTATTTGTTTAATTAGGAAAGAATTAATTAATTAAGAATTCCTTAACCATCGAAATATTGTACCCTTTTTTACGAGACGAAATGTTCGAAACTGCTCGGTCGACCTTTATGAGAGTATGCGGATGGAAACGTTGGATTTTGAATCTGTTCCTCAAAGAGAAAACCATATTCCCTTTTTCACGACATCCCTCATGAATGTAAAGACCAATTTCGCCTATTTTTTGTTGTTGATTTTGTTATTGCCAGGACTAGGAAGAAAAAATTAAGTTAATTGCGCGGAATTATGTAGAAATGCAATGCAAATTCAATATTCATAGTTAAGACAGGACAACGTGTGTCAGTTACTAGTAATATATAATTCAATCATATTGTGTGTTATTTTATAGGATCACGCCGTATGGAAACCATTGATGCAATTGCTGAGCGATTCCCCCGGAACCGAACTGCTCACAGTTGGCTCCTCAACACTGTGCAATCTATTACTCGAGTTCTCACCGGCCAAAGAACCAATGTTAGACCAAGGTTTGGTAATATCAAGTTTACTTTGTGATGTATGTTGTAGGGTGTGATAATTCCTCTGTTACAAGGCAAGCATTATTTATTTATTTATTTATTTGTATACACCAATAGTGTATATTTCTATATCTAGGACTTCTAAACAGTTGGTCATTATTAGTAGTATTACTGTATGTTAGTAGTATAATGAGTTCAGAATCTACAAATACTATGAAAAAACAAAATTTTTGTTTGTATTGTATTTAATAGAAATTAAAAATCTGTTAAATTAAAAATACCCATTGGCATTGTTAGGATTTTAAATTATACATATATATACATAGTCGTATTAGCATATTTTTTTATTTCAGGTGCTGTAGAAATGCTATGTAATTTAACAAAAAGGCCAGAAGCGGCCTTAAGACTTAATGGCATATGGGCGCTTATGAATATGGCCTTTCAGGTATTAAAATTTAAATTGTAATGTATTTTTGTTATGTATAAAAAATCTAAATACCTATTTACATTTTTAACAAATAACAAAGGAAGGTTTTTCTAATTGTTGTTTGAAGGTAATTGTTCGAATTAATTGACTTTTTTAATTCTACTTGCATTGTGTTATAACTTGAAAAACTTTGTAAAAAATAATTCTGTTTTTTATTAACTAACCTTTATTGGAATCAAATTTCAAATCGAATATTTTTGTACATAGCATCACTAAAGTTAGTAACAATGTGTTACGATTGACTTGAATGTGTAATACACTCCACTTCATCTCATTTGGTGATATTTGATTTGATTTAACTTTGCGCACTTTACCGCAACATTTTTGGAAACGAGAGAGGAGCGCTGCTATTGGTCGACGCGCATGCGCTGTACGTCCAGACCAGTCTTAGGGCGTAGGTACTTACTAACCTACTTCCATATTTTTTTTCAATCACCATGTTTATTGTTGCCGTAGTCTAACCTATTTGGCGACGTAGTATAAGTAATATTAATTTTCAGGCCGAACAAAAAGTGAAACAGCGTATCCTGTGTTGTTTGGGCACGGAGCAAATGTTCCGGCTGCTCGGAGACAGCGACACGCGCGTCATTATGAAGACACTCGGGTTGCTACGGAACTTGCTCTCCACTAGGCAACATATTGACGCCATTATGAGTGAATATTCCTCGCAAGTTATGCAGGTTAGTCACATAGATTAACCATGGTCATAGCCAAGCATGGGCTCAGGGTGGGGCGGCAGTCTAAAATATTATGTAACTATTAAACTATACCCACAGTCTTAACCCGATTATTTTTTTCATACACAACGGTTACATCCTGTAGCAACATTTTTTGTGTTGACTGTAGAGTATGAACTTTCTTACGGATATTAAGTATCGTTGTTCGATATTTTTTTAGATTTGGTTAGGCACCTTACCAGAGCCAGGGTGGTCGCCCCACCCTGGCTCTGTATTGTAAGGCGCAGTATTTTTTTAATATTCTTCCTAACTCATTTATAAACCGATTTGAAAAAAATATTTTATGGTATGGCTGATGTTGAAATAATGCTTATTATTCACAGGCAGTGATAGTAGTGTTAGAGGGGTCGTATCCTGCAGAAGTGAAGGAGCAGGCGTTGTGTATACTAGGAAATATTGGTGATGGTGAGAGAGCACGCGATTTCATTATGGCCAATGAGGATGTACTAAGGAAGCTTGTTGATTATTTGGTAAGTTTGCTGAATATTGTTAGAGTATCAGTTGTGATCAATTGATTTAGTTTAAAAATGTTTACTTTGTTTTTTTACGTGTATGTTTTATTTTGGTATACACAAGAAAATTAAATGTTTTTTAATCTTTGGTATCTTGTTTATGGATTGTTTATGGATTAAGATTAAGCATTTCAGAGGCATTATTTGTATGGAAACATGGGACATAATTGAATGTTTATAAAAAGGTGAATACTGCCCATATATTATTAAAGAATAAATAAAACAATTTTACAGTGTTCGTTTGTGTGCACTTTAATGTCAGATAGTTGAGTTACCGGGTTTGATTAAGTTTTCCTAAACGTATTGTAAAAAGATTTCCGGTTATTTTTGTGTTTGCTGCATTCCAATCTACTATCAAAAAAGTTATTACGAATATGCCAACAAGTGCGCGTACGAATTCCCGCGAGTAGATAGGTAAAAATGTATGTGGTATATACGTCATTTGTAATGGCTCGGTTCTGGTATGTGATCACGGCAGGCGCACCCGGAGAGCAAGCTGCAGGAGGCGGCGCTGTTCGTCGCCAGCAACCTGGTGCGCTGCAGCGAGGCCGGCGCTGCGCAGCGGCAGGCGCGCCTCGCGGACCTCGGCGTGCTGCGCGCGCTCAAGCTGCTGCGAGCGCGCACCGACGCCGCGCACCTGCACGACAAGTACGTACACAAACACACACACACACACACACACACACACACACACACGTGACAGGCGCGCCTCGCGGACCTCGGCGTGCTGCGCGCGCTCAAGCTGCTGCGAGCGCGCACCGACGCCGCGCACCTGCACGACAAGTACGTACACAAACACACACACACACACACACACACACACACGTGACAGGCGCGCCTCGCGGACCTCGGCGTGCTGCGCGCGCTCAAGCTGCTGCGAGCGCGCACCGACGCCGCGCACCTGCACGACAAGTACGTACACAAACACACACACACACACACACACACGTGACAGGCGCGTCTCGCGGACCTCGGCGTGCTGCGCGCGCTCAAGCTGCTGCGAGCGCGCACCGACGCCGCGCACCTGCACGACAAGTACGTACACAAACACACACACACACACACACACACACACACACACACACACACACACACACACACACACACACACACACACACACACACACACACACACACACACACACACACACACACACACACACACGTGACAGGCGCGCCTCGCGGACCTCGGCGTGCAGCCGCGCGCTCTCTCTGCTGCGAGCGCGCACCGACGCCGCGCACCTGCACGACAAGTACGTACACAAACACACACACACACACACACACACACACACACACACACACACACACACACACACACACACACACACACACACACACACGTGACAGGCGCGCCTCGCGGACCTCGGCGTGCTGCGCGCGCTCAAGCTGCTGCGAGCGCGCACCGACGCCGCGCACCTGCACGACAAGTACGTACACAAACACACACACACACACACACACACACACACACACACGTGACAGGCGCGCCTCGCGGACCTCGGCGTGCTGCGCGCGCTCAAGCTGCTGCGAGCGCGCACCGACGCCGCGCACCTGCACGACAAGTACGTACACAAACACACACACACACACACACACACACACACACACACACACACACACACACACACACACACACACACACACACACACACACACACACACACACACACACGTGACAGGCGCGCCTCGCGGACCTCGGCGTGCTGCGCGCGCTCAAGCTGCTGCGAGCGCGCACCGACGCCGCGCACCTGCACGACAAGTACGTACACACACACACACACACACACATACACACACACACACACACACACATATACACACACATACACACACACACACACACACACGTGACAGGCGCGCCTCGCGGACCTCGGCGTGCTGCGCGCGCTCAAACTGCTGCGAGCGCGCACCGACGCCGCGCACCTGCACGACAAGTACGTACACACACACACAGGCTGGCGAATCTATAGGCCTCGGAATCACTTATTACTACGCTATATAAAAAAATAAGTTTATTTATTTCCGTTTTAAGAAGACAAGTAGTCACGTAGTTCGCCTTAGGGTGCGTTCTTTCAAATGAGTTAGTTCGCGAACAGTATAAGCCTAAAAATTTAGTGTCTATTATTAAAAGGTTGATTTTTTTTCCAGAGTGAAGACTGCTTTGGCCCAATTCAATGAGTTGACATAATATAATAAGGACTACAGACGCAAACGTATGGGTAAAAAGTAACTCTTTACGAGTTTCACTTGTGATTTACAAATAGTGAGTTGTCAAGTCATTACGGGACATTCATCGTAACGGTTATTAATTTAACAATTCTATGTTTAGACTAAGTTATGTGTATATAGCTAAGTGCGTAACATATTGTTATTTCAGCTTAGGAGTGTTAAATATTTATTTTAATTTAATATGATCATGACAACATCTCGTAGTACATGTTTATAATTGTCTCATTAAACTGCTGATGTCTGTGAATCACATAATAAATCGATTCGGATATTTATTATACAAGCGATGAATGATGTATTGCAAATATGTCTGGTACTGAATAATATGTATTCGTAAATGTACTGTTGTTGTTACCATTTACTTGTTTCTGTAATAATTTGAATTGAGTAATTAGAGCTAATCTTTATAAATATCCGGCTCGAAGTATCAATGTGCCAATTGTATTTCTTGTACATTTTAATACGATCATTATTAACATTATATACTGTCGTAATATCACGGCGGTGCGCAGATGCGACAACACCATGACATTATCCACACTTCATCTTGCTATATTAACATACGATCTGTACACGCGATTCTCATTGTGTATGTAATCCATGAAATTAGCATATTACCAACGACAGAGGTGCTAGAATCCTCGCAGATGATATTTTTTCATTGTAGTAAAATGTAGTGAAACTACACTAGCATAATTTATTATGTAAATGTTGGTTAATGTATAATGTAAACGTTTGATATATTTGGAATGAAGTAGAAGTTTCGATCTATAGAAAAAGCGGGATCTTTTTTTCTAGAATACTCTATTTCCGGAAAATATGTATTACTGTACAGGAATCTGAATCGTCAATGCAAGCTATTAGAAAATATAATCAATGGAATATGTTTTATTTATAAAAAGCTCCAAAGAGCTCGTCTGTTGGCTTAAAATGTGAGAGCAATATATTCTGGGACGTGCTTGTATACGAAATATGAATGACTTACTTAGAGGCTGGTTTATTTTTACTATTAGAAAATTATTCTATTTGCTTTATTCGTATAAAATTCATAGCAGCCAGCTGTTTTCATTAGATATTTAGATGGAAAGTCAGGTAGGACAAATTACCAGACATAGTTTACATAGCATTGCAGATATAGTCCAAGGTTCTACTAGAGATGGGGTTTCCTACTAGGGGTTGAAAACTTACTGTGTTTTTTCTGCTTATTATGGACGATTAAGACTTCTAAAGACGGCTAGTAATTGAAAGAGTATAGATTAGAAACACTAAGGCCTATAGGTACATGCTGATTTAAATAACAAAAAAGGTGCAGCTTAGTCTTTTACTCAGAGCTATTAAAAATATTTTTTTTGTTTCCATTGATGTATAGGGTGGAAAAGTATAAAATTTTGGTTACATATTTGTATGTAATAAATATTATAATGATATTGTATTAATTTAGTAGCAATCAGAAATCAATTACATGGAATGAACGAAATGGGATTAATAAAATCGAAGATTTGCTTAAGTGTTTACTCAGGTAATAATAGAAGTATCTATGTAATAGATGTATACTAAAGATAAATAACAGTTCCCACAACATCTTGAAAAAGTGAACGGAACGTAAACGGAGAAAAAAAAAGTTGCAAGGAGTAAATAAATTAAGTAAATAAATAAATGAATACTATCAGTATTTCAATATGCTTGAATTAACATTTCATAATTGATATTTTCGTCCTTTATATTCATTGTTTCCACCTTATATAATTATATTTTTATTTCTATATCGAGACATTGTAGTTAATGCAAAATTAATAATTATATAGGCATATGCGTCATGGCTGCTTTTATATTTATAGTTCTTACAAGATGCAATTAAATCTATACCGAATTGTATTTAACTAGTATGGTATTAAAAAAAAATGCTTGTTCAACTTCTGCAAACGTGGGCAGCTTGAGTCCGTGAGTTTTAATCAATCGATAATATATAAAGCAGCATATTAATATATTATTTAATGTGGTGTGTTATTTTTTCGGACTAATAGACTTTTTTTAAATTGCACAATTATTTTGAAGTGTATATATTCATGGCTAGTGAATATAGGAATTGGTGCTGTAAAATGTATTTTATGATATTTGGAAGAAGCGCCATTATTGCATTGTGTTGACAATTTATTATGCAATAATATGTAACAGTATGTTAGTGGAACGTTGTGGCTGGGAAGGTATAGTCATCCAAAATGTATGGAGGAATGGAATAGTGTTTAACTGACACGAAACGACTGAAATTGTATAATAATGAACATAAAACCGCCATATATTTATCTCCATATTATTTTCGCTTGTCTGACAGCAGTAATTTTCTTACGTTATTTAATTAATAGCCTTCAATATTAACTGTGATTTATTTTCATTATTATATTGAAATGTTCTATAGTTAAAAAATTAATTTCATATATATTTATATTAAAACCGGTCATTGGTAGTCTGTCGTTACGAATACGGTCTAATCTGTATTTGTTATATAGGTCACAAACCTCAGGCTTTAGGGAATAAATTCTTATATATACATTAAGTATATCAATACCGATTCAACAATAGGGAATCTGTACACCATTTATTATATGTATGCAGGTCTTGAAATGCATTGCAAAAATTATCAAGCTACCTAAAGTCGGCGTCAGGCAGCTTCAAATATGCAAATGCCTATATATTACACAGAGGTGTTTGGGTGTTGGTTAAAGTTTGAACAAACATTACATTTACATTTTGCTGTACTGTACAAGTTTTTAAAAATATAATTCAATATTTTAAATTTATAACTCCACTGGAGTACTGACTGATTGCTATGAACGCAAATGTTTGGAAAGCATGTTTGATACAATCACAATTTTGTTTGCACCAATAAGTGTGTGTATACTAAAATTCTTCAAACGCTTGTTCAAATTATTGAAGCTACGCCGGTCGCCGAGGTTATATAAATAATATTGAAAATAATAATTTTATGTATTGATTATAATTATATTTACTATGACTACTACGCGCTTTATAGTATTGTGCAGATGAAAGCAAAAGTTTAGTTTTTTTATTTATAGGACACTAAACGACAGTCTAATACAATCTAATAACCGAAATGATATATCTTACATTTGTTTAATCGAACGTATAGTGATGATGATGACAATGACGTTTTAGTGATGTGTCATCTGTACTATACTATGAGGCGTGGAGCAAAAAATCAGCTACTTTAATTGAAATTTACGTGTTTAAAATCAGAGTCGTATAATTTGTTTAAATAGATGAAATAGATTATTTACAAAAGCTTTTTTTCTTTAATTTGTTATGTGTTGAGAAGAAATTGAATACCATTACGTTATTTAAATATTTAACACATATTTGGAACACTAAATGCATTATGGTATGCAGTATGGTACCGGATTAAGACAGCAAATGCAGGGGCGTGTAGCAAATTCTTTCAACTGGATCATAGTTTGGTTACTGTTCTTAAAAACAAAACAAATCTATAGATTTTGAATCAATTAGAGGAAAGTACTTATAAATATTTAAAAGCATTTTTGTTACTAATTCTTTGTTGTTACTCGTTCAAATAGAACCTCTTTTCTATTTCATCCCGGGGCCCTTAGTGCACGTGGCCGTTTTGCTTCCCTTGCTAGGCTAATCCGGTAAAGTATACAAATAAATAAATAAAATTAGTTTCTGATATAGCAAATGATATAAAAT